AGTATTCCATAGAGTATATATACCACACTTTTCCAATCCATTCATCAGTTTGTGGATGTTTAGGTTGGTCCCATGTCTTGGCGATTGTGAATAATGCTGCAATAAACATTGATGTGCAAGCACTTTTCTGACTGAGTGTTCTCCTGTCTTTCAGGAAAATACCCAGAAGTAGGATTGCTGGATCAAATGGTCGTTCTATTTGTAGATCTTTGAGGAACCTCCATATTGTTCTCCACAGTGGTTGAACTAGTAGTTTACATTCCCACCAGCAGTGTAGGAGGGTTCCCTTTTCACCCACATCCCTGCCAACACTTATCACTTTTTATATTCTTAATCTTTGCCATTCTGACAGGGGTTAGGTGGTATCTCATTGTGGTTTTTATCTGCATATCCCTTATGATGAGGGATGTTGAGCATTTCCTCATATGCTTTTTGGCTATTCGTATGTCTTCCTTAAGAGAGATTTTTGTTCAGCTCATTTTCCCATCTTTTAATCGGGTTAATCATTTTTTTTTTTTCACATTAAGGCACTTGAGTTCCCTGTGTATTCTGGTTATCATCCCCCCACCCCCAGAGTAATCTTGAACCCAAGATAATAACTTGGTGTGAGAGTGATTGCCTATGTAGTATCATGGCCAGAATAGTTTTTCATGGAATGTTGTGTATGTACAAAAACCCTACAACAACTCAACATTCCCCTTGTATTTTGCCTGATACATTCTTTTTTTTTTTTTTTTTTTTTTTGGGGGGTTTTTTGTTTATGGGACGAGGTTTTCGCTATAGGGCACGTGCACTCACCAGACAGACAGAGAGAGACATAGACACAGAAAGCGAGAAATCACCCCCCAGGGGGGATGGTCACGCCGCAATCCCTTCTCCTCCATTCTCCTCTCGGGATCCTGGGCAAGCACGCACATGCGCCCGGCGTGAGTTTTAAGCCACAGGACGCGAACCGCGGTCGACTACGTGGGAGTCCAGCGACATAGCCATTATGCTAACTGCTGGTTCCCTGCCTGATACATTCTTTAAGGCCCTTGAACAGATGTCACATTTTAGAAATGGTGAATAATGATAGTGTTTTAATAACTATTATGAGAATTTCTATGACATCATCTTAAATTTGGTCCTCAAAATTATTTCTCCTTTTACTCCTTCATTAATGCAGCAAATATTAATTTCTTATTATGTGTTGGGCAGTATTCTAGGTTCTGAGACTGACTCAGTGAATAAGATAGCCCAAGACTCTACACTCATATAGCTAAAATTTCAATGGAAGACACAGGTATTTGAGAAAAGCACTTATCACATGGTACCGAGGGAAAAGTAATTCCACCCAGAGTGAATAGCTCCTGAGAAGGCTCTGAAGATGGATTGAGCTTAGAATGACTAGTGAGAAGCAAAACTGCTTCTGTGAATAAAGTGAAATAAAAGTGATAGGAGTAGAACAAATGTTTTAAAATTTTTTATTTAAGTTTATCTGAGTATGCTGGGAGAACACAGCAAGCTCTTCAATTTCCATCATTCCCTTTTGAGAAAAAATTTTGCCAGAGGATATGTGTACTCACAGGCTTGTGGGGAGAGGGGAGAGGAAAATGAGAAAGCACCCTATGGGAAATCACCATGTTGCAATCCATGTTTTTCCCTTTCTCCCTGTTTTGGGATTTTGAGCACACATGTACATGTACCCAGAATGCTTCTCAAGCTGCCGTGTCAAGGACTTGAACCATGTTGTTGGCCCTGTGGGATTTGGCCACCTCTATCACAATTCCACAACTTCTCTCCCACTAAATCTTCAAATATTTTCCCTGATGGCCAAGATAATGCATTTCTATGTCGAAAAGCTGAAATAAATCTGAGTTGAATGACTGCATAAATTAAATAACACCAAACTCATACCATGCACTTGGGTTTAGAAAACAAACAACAACAACATAAAACCTTTAATAGAGACTTTTTTGGTAATAAGTTGTATAAAATTTTGGGTATGATTTTTTATTTGATAAAATACTGAGGTTGAATTAAGTAATTGTTAACATCTTTTCTTCTGTAAAGCTCTGTGATTTCAGAGGTATTATTTACTTCTGTGAGCAGACCTTGGGCATGGTGTTCTCAAGTTGTGAATCAGTCAGTTTTAGATAAATATACAAAACTTGGACAGAATTCATAGGAAAGCCACAAACTATAATTTAGAATATAGAAAATATTTTAAGGAAGAGGTTCAATAAAATGAGATTCACATGTCTAGTGAAGAGAGCTAGTGAGAATTTAATATTAATTGTCCAAGCTACAAAGGATCGGAAAATGCAGTCTTTGGAGTTTGTTCATTTTGGATTCGAGCCCTGGACCTACTACATTCTGGTTGCAATGTGATCTTGGATTAATTTAAATTTCTTTTATTTTATATC